GTTTTTAAAAAATATCTAAAAGCAGGAGCAGAAGAAACTAAGTTAATACCAAGTGATTGTCCTGCCATGATATGTATGGTGTTTGTTTGCCTAGTTCTGCCTTAAAATCATAAGAATCTGATATGTCAATCAATTGAAATAATTATTTATTATTGATTAGATTATCATTAATTTATATTAGCCCTTCCACGTTTACTAAAAAAGCAAGATTCTTAAACATACCTTGCTATCATTTCCAGTGAATTAATCAAAATTACAGTTGTAATATTACTCCTAAAATGTACCAATATATGTGAATTAAATTTATGTGGGTAACAAAAACTTCAAATAATGTTCTCATAATTGAGATATACACTTTATTTCAACTCCGTCCAATACTCCAGAAAGTCGATCAATATTCTTCTGACATAGTTTTCGTATTGGATCAACTTATGGAGGAAGATGGAATTCAATTCAAAGTCCCATGCAACTCTATAAAAAATCTGAAATATTTGAAATTTATGGGTTTATAAGGCACTCATATGAATTAATTTTGATACTTGGACATTGCATGATTGGCAACTGCTGACACTGACAATATTTCCGTTTTGAATTAAAATATTACTCCTCGAATATTTTGCTCTGTTAACAAGATACTGTAGGCCTTCAGATTGTGCTTATGAAACATCCTAAAATGTGTGACAAATTGAAGAATATCTAAGAGCGAAGGGACAATATCCGCCACATTGTTCTTTCATGTAACAAAGCGATTTTTGCTATTTCGGTTGATCGTAACCGAAAATGGAGAGTTATTTACATTGTGCCACGGCTTTCTCGCCTGTCTCATTTTAAGGCTTTATGGCGTACCAACTCAATGCCTAGTAGTGAATAAAAACGTTAAGCAAAAACAATTTTGTAGTTGCCAGAATTGTCCGTGTTTATAACACTTTGCAAAAGTCTTTAAACTGCTATTTTGTTGTCATCAGTTGGTAATGATTTTGCACTTGTGCAAAAGTGCAGATTCGTGCAAATTCTCATCATCATGTGAGGCAAACCTTGTGGTTTCCTGAACGATGGTGCAGACATTTAACTGATCGTTAGGCCTATCGCGTTTTCTTGGTCCGGCTCCATTTTTGTTGTCTTGACCGTAATGGTTTTGTTAAAGGTACACATCAAATTGCAGCAATATGTAATAAATATAGCGAGTGTATATGGCATAATTCGAAGCACATCGCTTCGGAGGCATCGTTTGACCCGGAAATAAGTCACGACAAATCCCACACAGCGCGCCCGGCCTGCTGATTGGCCAAATTTGACGCATGCGCCAGTTTGATTGACAGACTGGATCCCGGTCTATTCCCCGGCCGGGGAGGAGATACTTTTGACTGTAAAGTTTTAAAGAACTCTTTTACTGCCCTCCTTCTTCACGTTCCTGCACACATGTTTTCGTCAATGACACCAATGCCTGTATGTATGACGGATGTTCTTGGTGAGTATATTGCTCTCCATTTCTTCAGTAAGGGAATTTGAATATGTATGGAAATCTACAAAGTGACAGCTCTGTGTCTCTCACAGAAAAGGGCATACCAAGTGGTCACGTTTTAGCGTGTGTATGTTTCAACGGATGATAGCTGGAGTATGCCCCTCTACCTGTACAGCCTGTTATTTTGCCGTCTTGCTTTCAGCCAATCCTCGGTAGTATAGTGGTCAGTATCCCCCCGCCTGTCAGGTGGGAGACCCGGGTTCAATTCGGCCGGGGAGGATTACTTTTTTACTGTAAATTTTAAAAGAACTCTTTACTGCCCTCCTTCTTCACGTTCCTGTACACATGTTCGTCAATGACACCAATGCCTGTATGTATGTATGATTGGATGTTCTTGGTAGTATATTGCTCTCTCCATTTCTGTTGGGAATTTGAATATGTATGGAAATGTACAGTGACAGCTCTGTGTCTCTCACAGAAAAGGGCATGCCAAGTGGTCACGTTTTAGCGTGTGTATGTTTCAACTTTGGATGATAGCTGGAGTATGCCCTCCACTGTACAGCCTGCTATTTTGCCGTCTTGCTTTCAGCCAATCCTCGGTAGTATAGTGGTCAGTATCCTCGCCTGTCACGAAAATGGAAATTCGGAGGTTGGTTGGTTGAGAAAACGTCTCTGTCTGTCTCTCTGTCTGTCTGTGAGACTACTTAATGATACCTGAAAGAGGATTATGTAGTGATCAAAATGTGACAAATGGAGAAACCTTTAATGTTTGAAACAACATCTAGGAACAACAGCCAATTAGGGAAAACGTAAATACTATCAAAACAATGCTTGCAATGCTTGAGAAAACAACTTGATCAAAGATCAGGACACAATAAAACTTTTTAGCAATAGCAATGTGAGATGGGTGGATTTTGTCCATTTTTTGTTAAGAAGAGGTGGATTTTGTCCGGGGTGGCAATTTGGGGTGGATTTTGTCCGGTGGATTTTGTCCGGTCACCCTGGCTTATAGTCAGTGTATTGTTTCAGAAGGGTGTCGGCAACTGCCACAGTATCCCAGCTGCTTAAATTGTAACCATTACGGAAATATTCTTGTGTGCAACGGGAAACAACAAACAAACCTCCGATTAAAACAACATGTCTTGTTTGTTTCACTTTTAGTAATACTTGTTTGGCCAGACAGTTTTATCTAGTGTTACACAGAACAGTTTCCCTACATGATATAAAGGGAATCGCTTGTGTACTGCAAATTAATTCAGTAGTTATATATTGTAGTTGTGACAAAAGGCGAGACAAGATAAATATGTCTGTCCATTTCTCCACCTGGACATTATAATTAATCGTCTTATCAGACATAGAGGATGATCGCTCAAGCTGATTTGGAAGAAAGAGCCTCAGCACAGTCACAACGTATTTTCTCAATGACAGCGAGTCTGACGTTCGCAAAGTTTAATTAATGTTGCGGCAATTTAAACACGCAGGTAATGAGGAGGACGTCCATCAATCACCGGAAGTCCTGATCCAGAATTTTTAATTAGTGCCTTCTCGTTGTTTCCAGGCGATTAGTGATACCAGGTAAATCTTTAGTGAAACTATGAGCCAATTAGTGTTTAATTAGAAGATCCAAATTCGTCAAATTGTAATTCTGGCACCTTTTCAACAGAGAATGACTTCGATGAATTTGTGTGTACAAAAGAGGCGGGTAGTGATTGCTTGTAGCGACAGGCTGGACGTGGTAGTGGAATGGGCAGATGGCGAAGGCGGCGGGGTGCAGTTGCCGGGTTTCATGGGCTTTGTTCTCGTGAGTTATGTTTGTCTGGGAAATGAGTGCCACAACTGAACTACGACCTCTTCGTGTACACCCCAGTGGAGTGGAATACCCATGATAAAACTGTTTCATGGTATCTCAATGGAGTTAGCTTTTATAAAACAGTCTGGATTAGTGTTCGTTCACGCACACTCACACACACACAGTGAGTGAGAGTTTAGTTTAACGCCACACGCGGTAATATTCCAGCTATATGGCGGCGATCTAATAATGGGAGTCTGGACCAGACAATCAGTGATCAACATAATGAGCATCGATCTACACCAGTTGGGATACAATGTATGTGTCAACCAAATTAGCGAGCCTGTCCACCCGACCTCCCGAGAGATGTATGGTCGTGCAGTAATCGTGAACGCGACCAGTTGGTTTCATGCCAAACCGCCTCTATTATTACTGTTGACTGTTGCCAACTACCAACAAACACGGATGTTTGACGAAGCAAGTGTTGTGTTTTATAATTATTATAATTCCCGTATCTCAACGAATACCTAGTTGAGACGAAAATACATGCATGCATAGATCCATTAACTGCTGCTGAAGGAGGGTGAATTTATAGAAGCAGCAGTGTTTTATTCTATTTACAATTCTTTTGCCACAGACGAGAGGTTTCTGTGGCGGCGAGTTAAGATGCTCCTTCCTTCAACCGTGACATCTGATCTGAGAGTCTCTGGGCTGCCAATGCTCCAGTACAAGGTTACCATACTATACTTAATTAAAATCATGCGAAACATGAATATTCTTACTCCTTACTCATAAATAAACTCCGAAACACCGTGTTCCTTATGATGAAGAAGTAGACATCCATAAATTCTCACCTTTTATGTATGTCATGTCTATATGCCTTTCAAAGACTTAAATTAAAATCCGTTATTAATCTGCTTCACGCCATCTCTAGTATGGTGTGAAACTGACAGTCATACAGTTCTGACACGCCTGAGGAGGGCAACACTACGGCGCCGTAAAAAGACTAAGGTTTGCAGAAAATACTGGAACAAAGTAGCAATTTTTCTAAAGCTGCCATTTTCCACGACGCAAAGTCCAGAACGAAGGAAATGGTATGCCAATTCTCACTGTGATTTGCGACCTCGGGCAATCAAATTCGATAATTACTTGTCAAACATTCCACTACATACCAAGACTTTCGTCTGCCTGTCCGTCCTATCGTTGGTCTGAGTTTGGTAACCTGGCTGAGGCCGCTTGCTCACGAGCTTCCCGCCTGACTTCAGGAATATAGGCCTATGATTTTCATAAAACCTAACCCTAACCTAAGCCCCACCCAGTCGAAATAATCCTAATAAAACAGAATACATTTCAAGCTTGGGTTACGGGTTTTCTCACAATGAAATTAAAAAAGAACCAAATATTTTTAGGCCTCAGTTTGTATGTCACTGGTGTGAAACAGAAGTCACATATGACAGGAGGTCATGTTGATGTGTGTCAGTGGTGTGTGACGGGGGAGATCATCTTGATCAGGGGTGTCAGTGTAGTGAGACAGGAGGTCATGTTGATCAGGTGTCAGTGTAGTGAGACAGGAGGTCATGTTGGTCAGGAGCGTCAGTGTAGTGAGACAGGAGGTCATGTTGATGTGTGTCAGTGGTGTGTGACGGGAGATCATCTTGATCAGGGGTGTCAGTGTAGTGAGACAGGAGGTCATGTTGGTCAGGGATGTCAGTGTAGTGATACAGGAGGTCATGTTGATGTGTGTGTCAGTGGTGTGTGACGGGGAGATCATCCTTGATCAGGGTGTCAGTGCAGTGAGACAGGAGGTCATGTTGGTCAGGGGTGTCCAGTGTACTGAGACAGGAGGTCATGTTGATCAGGGGTGTCAGTTTAGTGAAACAGGAGGTCATGTTGGTCAGGAGCGTCAGTGTAGTGAAACAGGAGGTCATGTTGATCAGGTTTGTCAGTGCAGTGAGACAGGAGGTCATGTTGATCCAGGGGTGCCAGGGCAGTGAGACAGGAGGTCATGTTGATCAGGGGTGTCAGTTTAGTGAAACAGGAGGTCATGTTGATCAGGAGTGTCAGTTTAGTGAGACAGGAGGTCATGTTGATCAAGGGGTGTCAGTGCAGTAAGACAGGAGGTCATGTTGATCAGGGGTGTCAGTGCAGTGAGACAGGAGGTCATGTTGGTCAGGAGTGTCAGTGTAGTGAGACAGGAGGTCATGTTGATGTGTATCAGCTGTGTGCGACAGGATGTTTTGTTGGTGTGTGTCAGTGTAGTGAGACAGGAGGTCATGTATGTGTGTGTCAGTTGTGTGTGACAGGGAGGTCATGTTGGTTTTGTGTCAGTGGTGTGAGACAGGAGGTCATGTTGGTGTGTGTCAGTGTAGTGAGACAGGAGTAGATCATGTTGGTGTGTGTCAGTGTAGTGAGAGGAGGTCATGTTGGTGTGTGTCAGTGTAGTGAGACAGGAGGTTATGTTGGTGTGTGTCAGTGTAGTGAGACAGGAGGAGGTCATGTTGGTGTGTGTCAGTGTAGTGAGAGAAAGGAGGTCATGTTGGTGTGTGTGTGTCAGTGTAGTGAGACAGGAGGTCATGTTGGTGTGTGTCAGTGTAGTGAGACAGGAGGTCATGTATGTGTGTGTCAGTGGAGACAGAGACAGGAGGTCATGTATGTGTGTGTGTCAGTGGTGTGACTGAGACAAGAGGGTCATGTTGGTGTGTGTCAGTGTAGTGAGACAGGAGGTCATGTATATGTGTGTCAGTGATGTGTGACAGGAGGTCATGTATGTGTGTGTCTGTGGTGTGAGACAGGGAGGTCATGTTGGTGTGCGTCATTCTGAGTGAGACAGCAAGTCATGTTGGTGTGTGTCAGTGGTGTGAGACAGGAGGTCATGTTGGTGTGTGTGTCTAGTGTAGTGAGAGAGGAGGTCATGTTGGTCAGTGTAGTGTGACAGGTGGTGTGCGTAGTGAGGAGTTCATGTTGGTTTGTGTCCAGTGTCAGTAGGAGACAGGAGGTCATGTTGGTGTGTGTCAGTGTAGTGAGACAGGAGTTCATGTAGTGGTTTGTGTCAGTGTTGTGAGAAAGGAGAGTCATCTTGGTGTGTGTCAGTGTAGTGAGGCAGGAGGTCATTTTGGTGTGTGTCATGTCAGTAGTGAGACAAGGAGGTCATGTTGGTTTGTGTCAGTGTCATGTAGTGTTGTGAGAGAAAGGTCCAGTGTAGTCAGGATGTCATGTATGTGTGTGTTGATAACAGTAATGTGTGTGTCAGGGGGTGTGAGACAAGAGGTCTTGGTATGTGTCAGTATGTGTGTGTGTGAAGAAATTTATGTGTCAGAGACAGGAGATCTGTTAGTTGGTTTGTGTCAGTGTGGTTGTGAGAAAAGGAGGTCATGTTGGTATTTTTGTCAGTGTTTGTGAGACAGGAGGTCATGTATGTAGTGTGTGTCAGTGTAGTGAGAGAGGAGGTCATGCTGGTTTGTGTCTGTGTAGTGAGACAGGAGGTCATGTTGGTTTGTGTCAGTGAAGTGATAAAGCAGGTCATGCTGGTATGTGTCAGTGTAGTGAGACAGGATTTCATGTTGGTTTGTGTCAGTGTTGTGAGAAAGGTGGTCATGTTGGTATGTGTCAGTGTAGTGAGACAGGATGTCATGTTGGTATGTGTCAGTGGTCTGTGACGGGAGATCATGTTGGTGTGTGTCAGTGTAGTGAGACAGGAGGTTATGTTGGTGTGTGTCAGTGTAGTGAGACAGGAGGTCATGTTGGTGTGTGTCAGTGTAGTGTGTGTCAGTGTAGTGAGACAGGAGGTCATTTTGGTATGTGTCAGTGTAGTGAGACACGAGGTCATGTTGGTGTGTGTCAGTGTAGTCAGACAGGAGGTCATGTATGTGTGTGTCAGTGTAGTGATAGAGGAGGTCATGTATGTGTGTGTCAGTGTAGTGAGACAGGATGTCATGTATGTGTGTGTCAGTGTAGTGAGACAAGAGGTCATGTATGTGTGTGTCAGTGTAGTCAGACAGTAGGTCATGTATGTGTGTGTCAGGGGTGTGAGACAAGAGGTCATGTATGTGTGTGTCAGTGGTGTGAGACAGGAGGTCATGTATGTGTGTGTCAGTGGTGTGAGACAGGAGGTCATGTTGGTTTGTGTCAGTGTAGTGATACAGGATGTCATGTATGTGTGTGTGTCAGTGTTGTGTGACGGGAGGTCATGTATGTGTGTGTCAGTAGTGTGAGACAGGAGGTCATGTTGATGTGCGTCATGTGTAGTGAGACAGGAGGTCATGTTGGTGTGCGTCAGTGTAGTGAGACAGGAGGTCATGTTGGTCAGGTGTGTCAGTGGTGTGAGACAGGAGGTCATGTTGATGTGTGTCAGTGTAGTGAGACAGGAGGTCATGTTGGTCGTGTGTCAGTCATGTGTGTGAGACAGGAGGTCATGTTGGTATGTGTCAGTGTTGTGAGACAGGAGGTCATGTTGATCAGTGTGTGTGTCAGTGGTGTGAGACAGGAGGTCATGTTGGTGTGTGTCAGTGTAGTGAGACAGGAGGTCATGTTGGTGTGTGTCAGTGTAGTGAGACAGGAGATCATGTTGGTTTGTGTCAGTGTTGTGAGAAAGGAGGTCATGTTGGTATTTGTCAGTGTTGTGAGACAGGAGGTCATGTATGTGTGTGTCAGTGTAGTGAGAGAGGAGGTCATGCTGGTTTGTGTCAGTGTAGTGAGACAGGAGGTCATGTTGGTTTGTGTCAGTGAAGTGATAAAGCAGGTCATGCTGGTATGTGTCAGTGTAGTGAGACAGGATTTCATGTTGGTTTGTGTCAGTGTTGTGAGAAAGGTGGTCATGTTGGTATGTGTCAGTGTAGTGAGACAGGATGTCATGTTGGTATGTGTCAGTGGTCTGTGACGGGAGATCATGTTGGTGTGTGTCAGTGTAGTGAGACAGGAGGTTATGTTGGTGTGTGTCAGTGTAGTGAGGCAGGAGGTCATGTATGTGTGTGTGTCAGTGTGTGTGTGTCAGTGTAGTGAGACAGGAGGTCATTTTGGTATGTGTCAGTGTAGTGAGACACGAGGTCATGTTGGTGTGTGTCAGTGTAGTGAGACAGGAGTTCATGTATGTGTGTGTCAGTGTAGTGATAGAGGAGGTCATGTATGTGTGTGTCAGTGTAGTGAGACAGGATGTCATGTATGTGTGTGTCAGTGTAGTGAGACAGGAGGTCATGTATGTGTGTGTCAGTGTAGTCAGACAGTAGGTCATGTATGTGTGTGTCAGGGGTGTGAGACAAGAGGTCATGTATGTGTGTGTCAGTGGTGTGAGACAGGAGGTCATGTATGTGTGTGTCAGTGGTGTGAGACAGGAGGTCATGTTGATGTGTGTGTCAGTGGTGTGAGACAGGAGGTCATGTTGGTTTGTGTCAGTGTAGTGATACAGGATGTCATGTATGTGTGTGTGTCAGTGTTGTGTGACGGGAGGTCATGTATATGTGTGTCAGTAGTGTGAGACAGGAGGTCATGTTGATGTGCGTCATTCTAGTGAGACAGGAGGTCATGTTGGTGTGCGTCATTCTAGTGAGACAGGAGGTCATGTTGGTGTGTGTGAGTGGTGTGAGACAGGAGGTCATGTTGGTGTGTGTCTGCGTAGTGAGACAGGAGGTCATGTTGGCGTGTGTCAGTTGTGTGAGAAGGAGGTCATGTTGGTATGTGTCAGTGTTGTGAGACAGGAGGTCATGTATGTGTGTGTCAGTGGTGTGAGACAGGCGGTCATGTTGGTATTTGTCAGTGTAGTGAGACAGGAGGTCTTGTTGGTGTGTGTCAGTGGTGTGAGACAGGAGGTCATGTATGTGTGTGTGTCAGTGGTGTGTGACAGGAGGTCATGTATGTGTGTGTCAGTGTAGTGAGACAGGAGGTCATGTTGGTGTGTGTCAGTGTAGTGAGACAGGAGGTCATGTTGGTGTGTGTCAGTGGTGTGTGACGAGAGGTTATGTTGGTCTGTGTCAGTGTAGGGAGGCAGGAGGTCATGTTGGTTTGTGTCAGTGTTGTGAGACAGGTCATGTTTGTGTGTGTCAGTGGTGTGAGACAGGAGGTCATGTTGGTTTGTGTCAGTGTAGTGAGACAGAAGGTCGTGTTGGTGTGTGTCAGTGGTGTGTGACGAGAGGTTGTGTTGGTGTGTGTCAGTGTAGTGAGACAGGAGGTCATGTTGATGTGGTGTATCAGTGATTTGAGACGAGGTCATGCTGATGCATTTCCGTGGTGTGGGACAGGAGGCCATATATAGATACGTCTATGTAAGACGGAATGTAACGTTGATCTGCTGTGTAATTGTGATGTGAGACACTGGTGATATCGATGACGTGTGTGAATGGTGAGAGTCAGAAGGCTGTATAGATGTTGAGATACACCTCACGTTGATACTTCGTGTCATGTGTGCGCTGCATTAGGTCCACGTGTCGCCTGTTACTGGTTTCATGGAAGGTGTTGATGTTCCACATTGCCCTGGGCATGCTTTTTGCACAACGTGTACTTCGCACGTATTGGATGCATTCTCCACGGCATCAATATGGCGACCTCGCCATTACAGGCAATACCATTATCACCTATGGAAGTACTACGATTGTGTAACTACTCACATGAACACAATAATGTACGGTACTTCCAGCGAACATTACACGAATAAATTGCCCTGTTGTATTCAGTCCGCTTGTTATTAAGGAGAATATTGAAAAATCCAGGCAAATTACATTCACGCTGACAGTCGTCACAGTTGTTTCTTTTGTAACTTATTATCGTAATGTCCACATTTAACAATTGCATCGTGGTGTTCGTGGTCTAAATCGATATCTATACATACAATTGACATCACTGACCGGTGCGCTTATTTCCAGAACTATCCAGTAATTATAGAATAATGCTTCATGTATCGTCATACAAAAATGTAACGGCTAAATATATCTTCATGCTTTAAAATTCTGTATCGTATAGCATATCCTTCCATTACCAGACGATAATAAGGCAACATATGTCCTGTTTAGACGTGTGTCTTTCCCACGCAACAGTTCTGTTTCGTATCTTCTATTAATACGAAGGAACATATTTCCAAATACTTAAAACAAGACTTTAAATTGTGAAGCACATGCACAGTTGTGTTCACATATGCAACACATATTGTGATACAACAGACATCTGCCATTGAAGATGTGGGTCAGAATTGACCTTCAACTGTCTGCAGCACTGTTAAGACTGTAAGGTGCATTTGCACGTGCGTTGCCATAGCTATTGTGTAATGAAAAAAATAATAAACTTTCAACAAGAGTACAGACATGACTGACTGACTGAGTTTAGTTTTCCGCCGCTTTTAGCAATATTCCAGCAATATCACGGCGAGGGACACCAGAAATGGGCTGAACACATTGTGCCCATGTGGGGAATCGAACCCGGGTCTTCGGCGTGACGAGCCAACGCTTTAACCACTAGGCTTCCCCACCTCCCCAGTACAGACATGAAAAGTGTACTGAGAAAATCCCTAAATCAATTATTTTGTATATCAGTTAGGATAACAGAAAGAAAGGATGACTAGTACATGACGTGTTTCATGAAATATATTATGTACGCGACCCTATGGAGAGTACTTCTCATTTGCATACTATAGCTTGTATCCAAAACTTACATTTTGACTGATGAAATTTCAAGGGGTATTTTGTAAAAAGTGTCAAAAACAAAAGTTGGGAAAACGATAGTCATAGAATATTAAGAATCAAACTTTAGTTGTGTTCAAAACTATGAAATAAAAACCCCAAACCATTTTATTTTTATTTCCGTGAGTACTTTAGAACATTGCTGAGTGCTGAGTTAAATAACTGACATAACTGTATTTCAAGCCAAAACGGTATTTTATTATTTATTTTCTCTCGCCAGGAAATTCTACTTAAACCTGAACATGAGTTGAAAAACATGCACTATATAACGAATGTCCGTCAGTATTTTTCTAGAAAACCTGTTTCTAAGCACAGGAAAAGATCGCCCACAAGGACGTCCGTGCCAACAGTCTTCGTCTCTTCTCTCCATAACGCCATCTTTGTGTTGTCTGCGAGACTGTACACAGTAATTACAGGGTGTAATCTGCCAGTTGTCAGCACCAACACAAGCTGACAAATTGCGGTGACCTCGGGGTCACGTCGGCTACATTTTGTTGTCGGATGTTGCTGTGGAAACGCAGCGTTGATGAAATACTTGACTTTTGCAGAACATGATTTGGGGATTTCGTGCTGTTTAACGCAGCAATCGGCAATATTCCAGCGATATGGCGGTTTCCGATTTTGGGCAAACCAATGATAGTTTTGTCAGACGTCGAGATCAGATCTCAAAATCAATACCACGTTAAAACCTTTCTATTTTTCCGAATATTAATCCTCTACCTTTGTTTCGTAAATAGTTGTTACCTAAACTTGTGAAACGGAAATTACATCATAGTCATGCGTCCTGTCTGTCCCGTGCCTATCCCAAGACAGACATATGGTGAGTTAGTGAGATAGTATGGCTTTACGACCCTGTTACTAGTGTACCACTCTTTGTCTAGATAGTCTGTCTCACAGTCCCTGAACCACATTATTTTCCCTAGTGACTAGCCCTCCCTTCAATGTTAAAGCCCTAAATGAAGCTGAGGCTCCTATTCAATTTAAATGGGTTTATTTGTTACTATCAAAGTTTTATATATAGTTTTATATGGGCATTAGTCTATTGTCTAGACTGTAACTACTGTTATATTGTTGATCAAAATAAAAACATGAATTATGAATTACATCGTCTCTGTGTACTTAGGTGCTAGTTTACTGCTTGTTGTCATACAGAAAATCCTAGTAACCACACTGAATTCAACCCTTTGTATTGCCAGTTTGCCCGAGCCTAGCCTCGCTCTTTGACGTCATCACAATGGTCATATGTGTAATATGTTCTGTTGCAACAATAATTGTATGCATGTTCATAATAATCATATATACACCAGTTGTACACGTTTCTGCAAAAATAACAATAGCTGTATACATGGTTCTAAATGTTTCTATATGAACCATAGCTGTATAATTGTCTCTCTGTACACAATAGTTTTATACATGTTGCCATAAACAATCTCTGTTTTCGGGTGTCTACACTCTAAAAAATAAAGGAAACGCATAGGTGATTTTGAGAATATTGGACTCATGTAGCTGCGACAAAAACAATACAAATATACTATTTCTTTCCTAAACGTCATCTTTGTGTAAACAGCTTCAGTGCCAAAGCGTCACCAAGAAAACATATAAAGCAAAATGCACGCGCAAGTAAGCGAAAAAGCATGCGGTATCGATCACTATAACAAGGCCAACGTTGTGTTTAATTTTGTCATTCGTTTTTGCCTTGAAAAGAGGATGTCATCATGCCACGACTGAGTGCCGCCAATTGAAACATCGCTTTTGGCCGCTTTGAAGCTGGGTAGTCGCAGTCTGCAGTTGTCCGATAATTCAACATTCCTCAGAGTACCATATCTCCTCTTTGGGATTCTTTCCTCCAGACCAGTTCCGCCCAAGATCGCCCGAGATGCGGCCGTCTAAAAGTTACAACCCAAGCCCAGGATGCTACATCCCGGCTGATCACTTGCATGGAGACAGCACAGCGCATCCCTGGTTTGAGAATAATGTCCGACCAAACTGTTTTGCGTGAAGTGGGGATTCGACCAAGAAGGCCAGTTATCGCCCCTGTTTTGAGAGACTTCGCATCGACACAATCGCTTGCGGTGGTGTCGTAGAGTTCGGAACTGGCACCTTAGAAACTGGAGCCGAGTCTGGTTCATTGATGAATCACGATTTATTCTTCACCAGCGAGATGGAAGACGTCGGAGAAATGAACGTTTTGCCCCTCATGATATTCGACATGTCGACAGATTCGGTGGTGGAAGTTTCATGGTGTGGAGTTAGATATCCAGCACACAAAGATCTGATTTAGTGGTGGTTCAGGGGATAGGGCAGCAAATCGGTACATCAACGAAGTCCTTGCATGCCACATGCTTCCGATTATGGACTGACAGAGGGAGTTGTTTCATCATGACAAAGCTACTTCACACGCTTCACGTTACGTCACCTTTCCAAATCTAACGTCAGTGTCTTGCCATGGCCTTCCCGATAACCAGATCTAAACCACCTAGAACACCTATGGGATGAACTCGATCGACGTGTACGTCATCGTCAAAATACGCCTAGGAAGAGAGGGGAAGAATTCCACAAGAGCGACTTCGTCGACTTATCCAGCCTGTGCCGAGACGTAGCCGAGCACTAATTGCTGCCAATGGTGGCCATACAGTATTGTCCTTGACGCCATCTTGTGGACTCGAGTAAAAAGAAAGACAACAATAATTGCTGTTTTGGCGAACTCTTTGTCTATAAACATGTGACTTTTTTTCACCTTATTACGATTTCAATGACATTAAATAATTGCTCTTTTTTAAAGAGTGTTTATAAACAAGAACTGTGTGCATATATATGTGTAAACAATAGCTCTGTAAATGTTTTATATAAATATATATAATAGCCGTATAGATAGTTCTACGCAAATGATACCTGTATACATGTTTCCAGTGTTATTTTATATAATAAACTATTGAAGAGAACAAAGCGTCGAGATAATGACTTATTGAACTGACACCAGTCATGGCAGTGATTGCCAGTATCATGGTACATTACCATCAAAGCAACACAAACATTTCCGCCTCGACCTCGTTATGGTATCGGCGACACAGCTGTGCGACATCTACTACACTTGTCCACCATAGTCCAGTAACGAGCATGCACTGTATTAACTCCACCAGCCAAGCAATCTGATCATTATTGAGCAAGGCTCGATGCCCATGCTAGTGTAATCGATAAGCATATTGGCCCACCTGTCCCATTTCTTGTGTAAAAGCCGTATGTGTTACCTTGAAATTGACATGTGTCCATTTCATCATTAGCGACGTTCGAACTGATGTATTTCTTAACTGAGTAAATCAGAATGAAGTAAACCCTCTCACCGTGAAAATAGACACGATAAAGGTCGCTTAGTACATAAAGGATACAACATCAATACAATAGAACATGCCCTGTTAATAACATGCATGTGTTCATTTCAAACTACCGATGTAGATATGTATGTACTTGTATCTACCGGCCAGTGATCACAGGCTGGCAGCCAATTAGCTCCGTCTCTTCTAAACATACCGCGGTAAAGGCGATCGATCACCTGTCTCCCACAGTGCAGGTGCGACGAGGAAGCGAGAGACGGCTCTTCGTCATAACCTACCTGACAATGTTTAGGATAGTACCGTTCATCGTTCTCTCTGTCGCAAGGTAAGTGTAATCTTTGTTAGTCTCGATAAAGCCAACAAATGTCTTCATCTTTCTCAAAATGTACAAACGTACATCAATCACAGAATTTTATTAAAACTTGATAAATCTTAATTGCTGCACAATTATCAACTGTTTATAAACCATGTTTTGCATACAGTGCGTTAGATGAATATCGGAAAGTTTCATGATCACAGACAAGAGCTACAAATCTCAGTAAAACGATCCATGACGGTCTGAACAAGACGCAGGTGGATTCGTACATTCCCTATGAATTATATATGTTAATATTTCTAGTAATGCTACAACAAAGCCGTGTAACCTGATGATATTTTAGTAAGGAAACATGTGCTTGTGCTCAATTCATCCAACGGGGTCAACATGTTTGGGAACACAAAAGCCAACCTTAGGTCTTTTCATGTGGGATTTATAAAATACATAATAAGCTCTGGGTCGTACAATACCTTTGTGGTGACCCGCAAGGTATGGCTTCGGTCACATTGGGCGCTAAGTACTGTTACTATATACATCGTGGGATCATACACCAAACCTATGTAACTACACAGGCAATAAACTGTAAATAGAAGGGGTTTCTTTAGCTATTCTTAGCTGTATGATCGCCGAGCGGTTCCCCACCAAGTCCAACACGAACAACCACTGAGCGTTAGCTTGTAGCGTTCATTTGTGTGTCGCGTTTTTCACGTGTTACTATAAATGATCAGGACAAATCAGGACATGCGGTTTTCTCGTACAAATATCATTTGTATGTGTTTACAGATCTATGGCAGATTGGTAATGTAACATTGTGTACTGAGGTTACATGTCTGTACTAGTAGTGTGTTGACAAGCAACGTCAACACGCTAGTGTTGTTGTGGAATACTTTGTAAATATTCATAACAGTACAATTACATAAAAAGGTTTCATGTTAAACTTGGAGGCACAGTATATTTTATTTACTCGTATCAAACTTTGTTCCCTTTCAAAACATCGAGAAAAGACATTTGAAAAATATAAACATTGATACAATTGTCGTTTGTACCAGATCAATTACCTTCTTAAATAAGTTACCATCCGATCAAGGAGTTATCGTTAATGTTCGGATGTGATATAGTCAGGTTTTCATATACTGGATAAAGGTTGTATTGGTGTATGCTGGATATAACCTGTCGTTAGCTATCGCTTAGAACATCACGTTTAACTGCAGCCGACCCTGTATTTATTGCAAGTCCAGTTTTCTTGGCACAAATATATGACTGTAGTTACTTGTCCAAGTATTGTTACACTACACTTGGATAATATATTTTACTTAATCTTCCATGGAAACTTTTAATATTAAGCTTAAACCATTCCCATGTGTCATGTCATCACCTTCCTATTGGATGGAGAAGATGGTTGAATGTCCCATTCAGTGGCATGAAAGGCACATTTTGTAATAATAATGATATCGGTAATGAATACCGCTATATATTTACATGTATGTACTTTGATCTGTTTGATTGGCATTTAGAAGTTGGTGACTAATAAGAAAGTAAGAATATTTATGGATAACAACTTCTTTATTATATATGATGCGACGTTTCGGTATGGATTCTTATACCGTTGTCAAGCAAGAGTGAAGTACTACAGCACAGAACAGGCTTATATACATGAACAGGGATTAAGTAATAACAACATGTAGGACTGAATGAGGGGGGTTAACAATAACAACAAGGCACGGTGGCAATAATGTAGTGACAATAGGAAGCCAATGGTGGTGGATGTAAAAAACAAAATATACATGCTGATGAGATTAATTAACAATGATGGCTGAGGTGCTCTAATCTGTTGTTTTTATGAGATCATTGTATGCAGAAGGGATGAGATATCCCTGGTCTCTGTTGATTGAGGGCTTGTGTCTCCGGATTTGAACTGCTTCTGCAAGTTTCCTTTTGGTGAAGTCCTGGTGGTTTTTGGATAATATGTCCACATTGTCCCAAATTATGTTGTGATTGGGGCAGTTGATGATGTGGTCTGATAATGCCGATTTTCTATCAGATTTGGTGGTAGATGATAAGTGTTCTTTGATTCGGATATTTATGGGCCGGGAGGTTTCGCCTACATAGGCCTCGCCACAGTCACAGTTGATTTTATAGACAACACCTTTGGACAAGACCAAGACCCAGCAGCCCTCCTGCAACACCTCAACCAACAGCACCCCCGGGTCCAATTCACCTTAGAAACAGAATCCAGTGGTCAACTTCCCTTTCTAGATGTCCTTGTAACCAGAACTCCAGCCAACAAGATCCGTACCAGTGTCTATAGAAAGCCAACCCACTCCGACCAATACATTCATTTTGACTCCAACCACCCTTTGAGAACCAAAACTGGCACTATCTCCACCCTCACCAGACGAGCCATCAACCTTTCCTCCACCAGTCCCACTACAGAAATACAGCACCTCCGCCATGTTTTCACCAAGTTCAACCACTACCCGTCGAAACTAGTCGATAAAATTATCAGCACCACACTCCACCCAACAAGAAAACCGGCCTCCAACAAACCTGAACCAGCACCTATTCGTATCTCCCTCCCTTCATAGGGAAAACCTCTCACCACATCAGCCGTCTCCTCAAGCGAGAAGCAGGCATCGAAACCTACTTTACCAGCTCTACACCACTAAAACCCTACTGAAAGCGAATGGCAGGAACACCTCTAAACGACAACATCAACCCAAAGGTGTTGTCTATAAAATCAACTGTGACTGTGGGCGAGGCCTATGTAGGCGAAACCTCCCGGCCCATAAATATCCGAATCAAAGAACACTTATCATCTACCACAAATCTGATAGAAAATCGGCATTATCAGACCACATCATCAACTGCCCCAATCACAACATAATTTGGGACAATGTGGACATATTATCCAAAACCACCAGGACTTCACAATTAAAAGGAAACTTGCAGAAGCAGTTCAAATCCGGAGACACAAGCCCTCAATCAACAGAGACCAGGGATATCTCATCCCTTCTGCATACAATGATCTCATAAAACAACAGATTAGAGCACCTCAGCCATCATTGTTAATTAATCTCATCAGCATGTATATTTTGTTTTTTACATCCACCACCATTGGCTTCCTATTGTCACTACATTATTGCCACCGTGCCTTGTTGTTATTGTTAACCCCCCTCATTCAGTCCTACATGTTGTTATTACTTAATCCCTGTTCATGTATATAAGCCTGTTCTGTGCTGTAGTACTTCACTCTTGCTTGACAACGGTATAAGAATCCATACCGAAACGTCGCATCATATATAATAAAGAAGTTGTTATCCATAAATATTCTTACTTTCTTATGTATGTACTTTAACAACCACCACCAACCACCACCAGTGAAGATCCGGGTTAGAATTGGTCTTCGGTAACCCAGGTTTGTCGTAAGCGTAAGCGGCGACCAACGGGATCGGGTAGTCAGACTCGCTGAGGTGGTTGACCGTATCGAAATTGCGTGGATTGATGCTCACGCTGTTGATCACTGGATTGTCTGGTCCAAACTCGAGCATTTACAGGTCGCCGCCATATAGCTGGAATATTGCTGAGTGCGGCATAAAACAGCAAACCAAACCAATTTAACAATCACCGAAACCTGTACACTAATATCCCTTGATGAATAACAGTTATTTACTAGCCTGTCTTTACTGTGAGGAAATTCGCAAGGTTTCGAAAATCGATATTGGAAAAATTTAAAAGCTTGTACATCTGTATATCAGTGCACCGCTATCAGTATCACTGTCCTGTGTTAAACTCAATATGTTATGAAAGTAGCCTTGAGTGTAACTAATGGCCTGTTCTGTTTTGCTTGGAATGGCATCGTATGTTACAGATTGATAGTGGTGACTGTGTTATCATAACAACTGATGACGCACGTAGATCTGAAGCACTGTTAGTATTTGTACTCCCAGGGTTTTTTGTTTATCATTATACAGAAGCACTCAATTTGCCCGCCCGATAGTTTCATCAACATTTGCAAAGTTACTTCACTACCAGAGTCCCCCACCCCACAGACACCCCCACCCCATCCCCTCACACTGCCAGCCACCCCACTCCCCAGGGTGAACACATCGCATGGGAATCTCAGTCTAATCCAAATAGAGAAGAATCATTGATTTTATTGAATCCTTTCATCCCATATATAGACTTTGTGTCAGGTTACACACTGCACATGTTAGTTTAAAACATCAACACGAATGACCACATTGTGCTTCACATGAAAGATAATGTCTTAGCTGGTAGCTAACTTAAGCAAATCAAGAATCAAACTAAATGGAAGAATCGAAAACTGATTTTCCATGATCCTATATTACACACTGGAACCCTTATAGTACGGACCCTGTTTATCGAGATTTGACCCTCGAAGATCCGGGTAGAATTGGTGTTCAGGAACCCATGTTTGTCGTAAGATGCGACTAACGGGATTGGTTGGTCAGGCTCGCTGACTTGGTTGACACATGTCATCGTATCCCAATTGCGTAGAACGATGGTCATGCTGTCTATCACGGGGTTGTCTGGTTCAGACTCGAATATTAATAAACCGCCCCCATATAGCTGGAATGCTGCTGGGTGCGGCGTTAAACAACAACCAGCCAATCACATGGGTGTATGTTTTGCTTTTACAACACGTGTGACCCTTTACATAAACATTGTTACTACGCGCGTTGTTGCCTTGAGCCATAAACAAGCACAGGTTTATCATAATTCCCGCTCCAAAGTTACTGTAATACACCGTTTGACCGACAGCCGTAATCACATTGTGGAGTATTAATGGGTTTATAGTAAGTCATCCTTGAAATCAACAGCTCCCAAAGGGGTGTTGATTACATAAACCTCCAGCTATGACTATCTAGGTTATGCTTGTAATTGTGGTATTGACAACATCTGGGGCTGTGTTGATTACGAATTCGATAGCGGGAACGGGTTATTGGTCACATGAATGACAGTTTTGTGTGTTACAAAGGGAGGGGTAC